AAGACACTGTAATGCACAGTAGCCTATTGTACTGCACATTAGCATGTCACAGCAAAAACAGTGCTAATGCACAACAGAATTAGTCTATTGTGGATTAAGCGCCACAAAAATACCGTCCTGCCTTTGCTATTGTGCGTTAGGGCAGGCTAATGCACCTTTATGTAGTTCCTCATATTTGAGGTACTAAACTTAATGTGCAGTAGCAAAGGTGCAATACTGAACATGTAGATGTACCCTGTTTGTCAGTTTTCCATCTGCTGTTAGAGCAGCCACATAAAACGCACCCCCCGATGTTACATTCATCACATAATTAACATGTTAGTCATGCAAAAATTGTAATATGCCACATGTTCCAGCAATTTGATAAAAATGGCTAACTAACCAATGATATTACTCATTTAATGCAAAACATCTTTGTGGCCAATTTGTATCATGCCTTTAATTTGAATACACTAGTTTAAAGTGTGCTCAAAGAGTGTGAGCTTGGGAGCCACTCCATGGTGCTGGGTTGTCCCCAGGTGGGAAGCTGCACAGCAGAAACTGCTTCATTGGTGTCAGGCTGCGCACAGGCTCCCCCTTATATTTCCTAGTGCCTAGGCAGTTTGGCAATAGAAAGCCAGGTCTCAGAACTGGGGGTCACTGGGTTCTAGCAAGTTTAGAAGGTATGTGGACCATCTATCATCAGGGACCAGCTCCCTAATGCCATGCTGTACAAGTGCCCTTTAAACATCCTGAAGTGCAGGACCAGAGAGCATGTTCCCAATCCCAGGCTCCCCATGCACTGGCAAATGCACAATGGGATCTGGGATAGAATTCTTCAGATCCTATCCCGCAACTAAATTAACATTTGAAGGGGGCCCATAGTGCATAAATTGTGGAGGCTCCCTTAGAACTTCAGTGCCTGCTTTTCTTAGCTCCTGTTGCAAAAGCTTGCTAAGAATTATACTTTTCATGTGCTGGAGAAAAGTATAACTGAAGACTATGAGATGGCTATACCATTTGTATGAGAAAGCCTGGTATCTCAAATGTCACCATAGTCTCTCCATTTGCTGGTTTGGAGGAACTATAACTTAAATGTATACAACAGGGGGTGGCAATGTTTTCCAGTGCTGGGCCACAATGACCCAGCTCAGGTCAAAGGTGGACCAGCATTAGGGCCCGGCCACTGCTGCCACTGTTCCCTGCAGCCCAGCAGCAGAGCAACATGGGCCAAATGCCTGGCCATGGTGTAATGCGGGCAATGGATGGATCCAGAGGCTCCACGGGCTGCATCTGGCCCACAGGCTGTAGCTTGCCAACTCTTAATATTTGCCAATATAGAAGACAGGTGAGAGAAAAGAAAGCATATAATCAATTTGGGCTAGGAAGACCGAAGCTTAATACTTAGCCTTTAAAAGCAAAAATACCAAAGACAATCCAGTGCTGTGGTCTCCAAATATTTTAGAAATATTCACTAGATTATGTTTATATTTAGTACAGTATTTTTAAACAAACTCACTTGAAACTGGATTATTCTCTCCTGGGAAAGGCACAAGTACATTCTCTCAGTATCTTTAAGGTAGAACGCACATTTATGGAGCTGTGATACTGGATCATCTGCATCCAATAACGCTGTCTGTTTATCCACTTTTCGAATGATCTATTGGTGAAAAAATGCACATACAAATACCTTTACCATCAATGCAATAAGTATTTTCTATGTCAGACAGAGTCCTATCTGAATATGTGCTGCATACATATGTGTTTCTCCATGCTTTGCTAGGAGAGGGGGGAGAAACTAGCAACATACCTTTTTGTTTGCATGGTAGGCCGAGTATTAACACACCATAAAAGGAAATGCCTCTAGGACTGAAAACATGTATAGCAAATTGTAGCAAAACAAGCTGATCAGTCAATTTAAACCTTGAAAAAGGTTTAAAGGCAGTGACACTTTCTTAATTATAGTTTTGCAAAAGCAGCAACTATAATAGCAAATCTTTTGACAGGTACTTGTAAATGAATATTGTTTAAGACATAACTGTACAAGTACGAGAATGGATGGTTGTTTCCTCAATCTGAAAGTTCAACATAAAAAGGTAGTCTTCAATTTTAGAAAGACAGAGTAATTGGTATTTAAAAATTGTAACAGAAAAACAAAGTCCCCCCCCTACAGACTGGAAATCTGAAGCTTGCAATTTTAAATCAAGTTCTAGGAAAAAGGTTTAGTATTTTGCCTTCTGCAACACACTCAAAAGCAGCAGCTAGAGTACTTAAAGATTTCTAAGCTGTGGATCAGAAAGCTGTCCTCTAAGATTTCTTATAGTTATTAGCCGCATAATTTTCCAAGCCCACACTTTCTTTCAGAATTTTTGTCCCAAAAATGTTTTTGTCCCAGAACTAATGTGCTGAATATGTTCCTGGTAACCAAGGGTAACAGGTGTACTTTGATTAATTTTAAATTGTATTTGGCTACTTTTATTTCAGATCTCTCAAACTTCAAATGATTGTACCTGATTCAGCTAGCACCCCAATAAAATGTAATTATTTCTAAGTTAAATTAACACAAAAACTGCTGAAGTGAGAGGAAATCTTCTCACTAACTTCCGCATGTGCTAGATCAGACCTGTAGACAATGAGTAAGTCTGGATCTTTTTTTTATATTGCTATAGTTTAACAAAGCAGGTTTAAGTATCATTTTATACTATGGGCAATGAAATAAAGAATTTTTGCCCTCAACAGACCAACTCCATCTTTCCCATAAGTTTGGCCATAGGAAATATTCTTAGCCTAGTGGGTCTGGGAGATCTCCTGGATGATGAACTAAGGCTGCCTCCAAACATTATTTCTCCAGTGCTCCATACTTTGTGGCACTACAGAAATAAAAGGCACTACGGGCATCCATACATTCAGAACCCCCCCGGCGAACTCAAAGGCACGCTCTCCAACTAGGGGGCAATAGGAGGTTGCTCCATAGTTGCTGCCACTCCTAGTGGAGCCTATCACTGAGCTGGACAGGCTCACTGACCAGCTTGCAAGTCTAGCTCCCAGGGTTTCAGGCTCCCCAAGAGCCCTTTAAAAGTCCCAGTGCTCTAATGGGCTGTAAGCAGCCCCCTCACACTTACTGCCAGGTACCAAGATTGACAGGGTTCCTTGTGAGCCTCCAGTGGCAGCAGAGGCAATTCAGGATCTGGGGCCCCTGCCTCTACCACCTACAGGAAGACACCAGTAAGGGGGTTTGTAGGAAGAAGCAGCAGGATTAGATGGGGTGGAAACACACCAGCAGTCTCATAAGGAGCACTCTCAGCCTTTAAAGGACCTGTGTGCCTGTAAGCCCAGGATCCTGGCATCACTCCCCAGTCAGGTCCCAGCAGCTTGGGAACCCTAGCTAGCTGCACCTGCTCCATGTGAGTCAGATCACTGGTCTGGCAGTCCTGACAGCTCACTCCTGGGCAGGCTGTCAGGGAGATAGCTGTTCTCCTCCTCTCTCCCCTTTGAAGCCTCTTGTGGATGCCCCGCCCCTCCCTACTCCCCTTTCCTGGCCAGATGTTAAAATTCATCCCAGCATGACAGGTAAGTTGCTCTTTAAATAGCAGGACATGTTTAAACAGCACCTTGTCATGGATCTGCCTTTTGAGGCAGGTTTGCCATTTTTACCTAGGGACAAATTCTTTTACCATTTGGCTCGTTACCATTTGTTACAGGATAATCATATATTGTGCAAGAAGTTCCATGACAGGAGGATCCCTAAATTAATGTTTCAGAATTTTGTACTGTCAACACCTCAGCATCCAAACCCCTTCCCACAGCCTGCTAAGAATAAGTAAAGTCTATGGGGGACTTCATGATGGATAAGTGGATCATGATTGCACATGTATACGCTATAAAGCAGGGGCGAGCAGTTATTTCAAGCAGAGGGCCACTTACTGAGTTTTGGCAAGCCATTGAGGACCACAAAGCAGGCAGTCAAGGGCAGATAAATATTAATTTTCTTAATTTTGGGGGGGGGGGGGGCCACGGGCTGGAGAGAATGGCTTGGTGGGCCGCACCTTGACCACAAGATGAACATGAGCCTGCAATGCAATGCTGCGGCTAGTGAAGTGACCAAAACGCTGGCTTGCATCTATAGATACGCTCAAGCAAATCCCAGGATGTCCTTCTCCCCCTGTACTCAGCTTTGATGAGGCCGCAGCTGGAGTACTGCATCCAGTTTTGGGCTCCACAATTCAAAATGGATGTGGAGAAGCTTAAGAGGGTGCAAAGGAAAGCCACGCACATGATCAGAGGTCAGGAAAACAGACCTTATGACGAGAGACTGAGAGCCATGGGGCTCTTTAGCCTGGAAAAGCTCAGGCTCAGGGGTTACCTGATGGCCACCTATAAGTTTATCAGGGGTGACCACCAGTATCTGGGGGAACGTTTGTTCACGAGAGCGCCCCAAGGAATGACGAGGTCGAACGGTCAAAAACTACTGCAAGACCATTTCAGGCTGGACATAAGGAAGAATTTCTTTACTGTCTGAGCCCCCAAGGTCTGCAACAGCCTGCCACCGGAGGTGGTTCAAGCACCTACATTGAACACCTTCAAGAGCAAATTGGATGCTTATCTTGCTGGGATCCTATGACCCCAGCTGACTTCCTGCCCTTTGGGCAGGGGGCTGGACTCGATGATCTTCTGAGGTCCCTTCCAGCCCTAACGTCTATGAAAATACGGCCCCTGGGCCGCATTTTGCCCACTCCCGCTATAAAATCTATACAGATTATACTGCTGTGTCTTATACTGTTCATTATATACAAAAGAAGGGATGGCCAATTTTTAAGCAGCCAGGGGTTGCACACCACACAGGCCATACCAGTGTGAGCCCCATTCTCCCCCCCGGGCACATGCTGCATGAGCCCACTCACCCCTACTGCACCATGCCCAGGGATCCCCCCAGTACAATAGGCTGTGCCATGCTACACTGCCCCACTCCTGGGTCAGGGACAAGCAGCAGAACTGGAAAAAGGAGGGGGCAGAGATCCTAGCCGCTGCTGCAATTAGAGAAATAGAGGGAGGAAGGGCAGTTGGCTGGGAGCTGCAAATTAAATCTTCATGGGCTGCCTGTGGCCCACAAGCTGCCAGTTGAACAGCTCTGTACTAATGCAAGAAGTATGGGGAGTAAGTAGGAAGAACTGGAAGTCCTAGTATAATTGCATAAACGTAATGTAATTGGGATAGCCAAACTCAGTAAATAGTTTGTATAATTATACTACTGTCAGGAAAGACAAGCAGGGTGAAAAAGGAGGTGGTGTTGCTCTTTCCATATGCAAGAGACATACACTTGTTCTGAGGCGTGGTACAAAGAGGGAGATAAGCACACTGAAGGTCTCTTGGTCAAAGTGGATAAGAATAAGGGTGATCTCATGGTGGGCATCTGCTGTAGACCACCACCTCAAGAAGACGACGAGGCAGTTTTCAAACAGCTAACCAAAGTGTCAAAACTGCAGAACCTGGTGCTAATGGAGGACTTTAATTACCATGACAGCTTTTTGGAGGGTAACAGTAGTGGCCCAGGCAGCCCAGGAAGTCTTTGGAATATGTTGGAGGTAACTTTTTGATACAGATGATGGAGAAATCAACTTGAGGGAGAAGCTCATCAAATGCTGCTCACAAACGGAGTAACTGGTTGATAATGTTGGGGTTAGAAAGCAACTTGAATGACAGAGACCACAAAGGACAGAGTTCAAGATCCGGAGGTAAGGAAGTAAACAGACACTGCAATTCAGAAAAGCAGACTTAAATTTGAGGAACCAGTGGACATGATCCTATGGGAAGCAAGTCTGAAGGTAAAAAGTCCAAGCCAGCTGGATGTACCTTAAGGAGGCTATGCTGAGGGTCCAAAACTAGCCTATCCTGATGCAAAGAAAGACAAATAAGTACAAACCAGCCAGGCTAAAGTGTCAATTTCAATGAGATGAAACTCAAAAAGGAATCTTACAAAAAGTGGAAGCTTGGCTATGTTACTAAGAATGAGCATGAGAGAGATCACACAGGCATGCAGAGAGAATCAGGAACGCCAAGGCACCAAAAAAAAAAAAAAAAAAAAATCTACAAATACGCTAAAATTAAGGAAAAAGATCAAAGGAACTGCAGGTCCTTAACTGACTGAAGACAGTAGTCTCGTAATGGATGATGTAAAGAAACATGATATACTCAATGCCTTCTTTTTACTTCAGTCTTCAGGAATAAGGTCAACTATCAGATGACAAGCACAGCAGGCAGCAAGAATGGGAAGGATACAATCAGCCTGTACTACGGAAAACACGTTAGAGATTACTTGAAGGAGCTGGATGTTTTCAAGTCAGCAAGGCTGAATGGGATGCAACACAGAGATAATTGTCCAGAGACACAGTCTATTCTCTTTGAGAATTCATGGAGGTTGGGTTATGTCCTGGATGACTGGAAAAAGGCAAATGCAGTGCATACCTTAAAAAAAAGAAAAAAAAGGTGGAAGGATCCAGGTCAGTCTGACCTCAATACCTGGAAAGATTATGGAACATGTCAAGAAGGGATCCTAATTGCCTAGAGCATAATTATCCAACTGGCAGTCTGTGGGCCATAATGTAGCCCAAGAGTGGTTAAACCATGATGGTGGCAGTATTAACTCCTTCAACACCACCTTCT